AGCCCGGGTGATGCCACTTTGTTGATCCAGCTGCCACAGGAGCTTTCAAACACCCGCACACCCTCCTGCTTGCCTCAACCCGGCCCTCCTGGCCTCTTGAACCGCCCACCATGGGCCATGGCAGCGCTCCTTCCTGGTGACCGCTGGAGGGTCTCTGTTGTGACTTAGGTTGGCAAAGCCCTCAGCTGAAAGGCTGGGATTGGGGGCCTCTGGAAGGCGACTGGGTCACAATGAGCAACACTGACCACAGGCCCCACACAGTGGCCATCTACGAATCAAGAAGCAGCCCTCGCTGGAATGACCACTGACCATGGTCATCAGCCACCAGGACTGCAACAAGTCAGTGTGCTCTGGGCAGGCTGGCTGTGTTTTCTCACAGCAGCCAGGTGACCGAGACAGGCAGCCACAGCGCCCCCATTGACAGCAACGAGCCTCCAGGACCCCAGGCGCCTCCCACCCCCTCCAGCAGTCCCCTGATGGACCTCACAGCCAGAGGGCCCTCCATTCTCCCCACACTTCCCAAGGCCCTGCTTATGAAGCGCTTCCAAGTCCCCCAAAAGAGCTGACTCTCCTGCCCCAGGGCCCAGAGCCACCTGATGCCCACTTGTGCCCAGAGTTCTTTCTCGAGGCCTCCCTGGCCGTGGCCCCCTCTGGCCAGCCCTATGCTTTGGGGTCCAGGCACCGCTGGCCCTCAGTGCTCCTCCCAGCCTCTGTCCCGTCCATCTCTGTCTCAGCGTCTGGGAGCCTCTGTGTGGATTTCCGTCTCTCCTGTCCTGCATCTTGGCCCCCGGCCCAGCACTGTGGCCAGTCATGTAGAGCCCTAGTCTCACCACGGCCTGTGGGGTCACACAGCCCAAGCCACACACACCTGTCCCCACCACAACCAGACCACAGACCAGACATGACGTGGAGGTGAGCGGCCACAATATGGAGGTGGAGCAGGAAGTGGGCGAGTGACCCCCGTGGGGGCCAGACATACAGTCATACAGCCCCTCCCCAGTGGGGCCCCAAGCACCCAGACTGCCCCAGCCCTGGGCAAAGGGTCCACAGTGGGGCAGAGGGCTGCTGAGGACACAGCCCTCCAGCCTGGGCCTAGAGCAAGCCTGAGCTCCTGCCCTGGCACAGTCCCTCTGGAGCAGGCAGGCCATGGCCATGAGGGTGGACCACAGCCCAGGGCCACCAGGCCAAGAGGGGGGAGGGCTCAGAGGCCTGAGCACGTAGACTGCGACGCTCTATGGCCTCCTGTCCTCCTCAGACGTGGACAGCAACGCCAGGCCTGGGCACTCCTAGAAACTCAGGATGGAGAAGAGGCCTCCAGACCAAGAAGGTGAGGGGAGAGGTACCAGAGGACACACAGCAGGGCATGGACATGGAAAGCCAAAAGGGGCCGTGGGCACGGATGCAGCCCTGATGGGGACCGGAAGGCATCCGAGCTGAGCAGAAGGACGTGAGAGGATGGGAAGGGCAGGCTGGGCCACACCTGTCTGCTGAGCTGGGCCGCCCAACACTAGGCTGATCAGGCTCCACTAGGCTGAGCTGGGCTGAGCTGGGCTGAGCTGGGCTGAACTCAGCTGAGCTGAGCTGGGCTGAACTGAGCTGGGCTGAGCTGGGCTGGACTGAGCTGGGCTGGGCTGAGCTGGGCTGAGCTGGGCTGAACTGAGCTGGGCTGAGCTGGGCTGAGCTGAGCTGGGCTGAGCTGGGCTGGACTGAGCTGGGCTGGGCTGATCTGGGCTGAGCTGAGCTGGGCTGGGCTGAGCTGAGCTGGGCTGAGCTGGGCTGGACTGAGCTGGGCTGGGCTGAGCTGAGCTGGGCTGAGCTGGGCTGGACTGAGCTGGGCTGGGCTGAGCTGAGCTGGGCTGAGCTGGGCTGGACTGAGCTGGGCTGGGCTGAGCTGGGCTGGGCTGAGCTGAGCTGGGCTGAGCTGGGCTGGACTGAGCTGAGCTGAGCTGGGCTGAGCTGGGCTGGGCTGAGCTGGGCTGGGCTGAGCTGGGCTGAGCTGAGCTGGGCTGGGCTGAGCTGAGCTGGGCTGAGCTGGGCTGGACTGAGCTGGGCTGGGCTGAGCTGAGCTGGGCTGAGCTGGGCTGGGCTGAGCTGAGCTGGGCTGAGCTGGGCTGGGCTGAGCTGAGCTGGGCTGGGCTGAGCTGAGCTGGGCTGAGCTGGGCTGGACTGAGCTGGGCTGAGCTGAGCTGGGCTGGGCTGAGCTGAGCTGGGCTGAGCTGGGCTGGGCTGAGCTGAGCTGGGCTGAGCTGGGCTGGACTGAGCTGGGCTGGGCTGAGCTGGGCTGGACTGAGCTGAGCTGGGCTGAGCTGGGCTGGGCTGAGCTGGGCTGGGCTGAGCTGAGCTGGGCTGAGCTGGGCTGAGCTGGGCTGGGCTGAGCTGGGCTGAGCTGGGCTGGGCTGAGCTGGGCTGGGCTGGGCTGAACTGAGCTGGGCTGAGCTGGGCTGAGCTGGGCTGGGCTGAATTGGGCTGAGCTGGGCTGGGCTGGGCTGAGCTGGGCTGAACTGAGCTGGGCTGAGCTGGGCTGAGCTGGGCTGGGCTGAGCTGGGCTGAGCTGGGCTGGGCTGGGCTGGGCTGGGCTGGGCTGAGCTGGGCTGAGCTGGGCTGGGCTGGGCTGAACTGAGCTGGGCTGAGCTGGGCTGAGCTGGGCTGGGCTGAGTTGGGCTGAGCAGGGCTGAGCTGGACTGGGCTGAGCTGGGCTGGGCTGGGCTGGGCTGAGCTGAGCTGGGCTGAGCTGGGCTGGACTGAGCTGGGCTGGGCTGAGCTGGGCTGGGCTGAGCTGGGCTGGGCTGGGCTGAACTGAGCTGGGCTGAGCTGAGCTGGGCTGGGCTGAGCTGGACTGGGCTGAGCTGGGCTGGGCTGAGCTGGGCTGAGCTGGGCTGAGCTGGGCTGGGCTGGGCTGAGCTGGGCTGAACTGAGCTGGGCTGAGCTGGGCTGAGCTGGGCTGAGCTGGGCTGGGCTGGGCTGAACTGAGCTGGGCTGAGCTGGGCTGAGCTGGGCTGGGCTGAGTTGGGCTGAGCAGGGCTGAGCTGGACTGGGCTGAGCTGGGCTGGGCTGGGCTGGGCTGAGCTGGGCTGAGCTGGGCAGAGCTGTGCTGGGCTGGGCTGAGCTGGGCTGAGCTGGGCTGAGCTGGGCTGGGCTGGGCTGAGCTGGGCTGAGCTGGGCTGAGCTGGGCTGGGCTGGGCTGAGCTGGGCTGAGCTGGGCTGAGCTGGACTGGGCTGGGCTGAGCTGGACTGAGCTGGGCTGGGCTGGACTGAGCTGGGCTGGGCTGGGCAGAGCTGGGCTGGACTGGGCTGGGCTGGTTTGGGTTGGATGGTCTGAGCTAGGTGGTCTGAGCTGGTCTCAGCTTGTTGAGCTGGGCTAAATGGAGCTAGCTGGGCTGAGCTGGGCTTGTCTGAGCTGGAGTGAGCTGAAATTGGCTAGGCTGATCTGGGCTTTGCTGAATTGGGCTGAGCTGGACTGAGCTGGGCTGAGCTGGACTAGGCTGATCTGAGTTGGGCTGGGCTGGGCTGGTCAGTGTTGAGCTGAGCTGGGCTGGTTTGGGTTGGACGGTCTGAGCTAGGTGGTCTGAGCCATGCTGAGCAGGGCTGGGCTGAGCTGGGCTGGACTAAAGGGGATGATCAGGTTGGGCTGAACAAGGTCTCAGCTGCACTGAGCTGAGCTGGGATGGCTGAAGTTGGGTGGGCTGAGCTAGACTGGGATGAGCTGAGTGGGGCCGAGCCTGCCAGGCTGAGCGAGGCTGAACAGGGCTTCACTGCAGTGGGCTACTCTGGGCTGACCTAGGCGAAGCTGGGCCAAGCTGAGCTGGACTGAACTGGGCTGGGGTGAGCTAGACAGAGTGAGCTGAGCTGGGCCAAGAGGAGCTGATCCAGCCTGAGCTGACTAGGCTGAGATTAGCTTGGCAAAACTGGACTGAACAGTGCCAATCTCTACCTGGCTGGGCTGACCAGGGCTGACCAGGGCTGAGCTGGGTAAACCAAATAGAGCTGGGCTGAGCTGCTCTACTCTGAATGGGTGGACTGGGCTGGGCTGAGCTAGGCTGCGCTGAGCTGGCCTGAGATGGACAGAACCTGGCCAAACTGAGCTGAGCTGGACTGAACTGGCTGACCTGAGCTAGAAGACTGGGTTAGACTGCACTGAGCTGAGCACAGCTGAGCTGAGCTGGGACGAGATGGGCCGGGCCGGGCTGTGCAGGGCAGGGGATGGCCTAAGCTACATGCACAGTCCTGGTCGAGGTTTTCTGGGACTCTGCGCAGAACTGAAGAGTAGTCTGCAGGTTGAGTGCAGACCAGCCCCAGTCCCTGGGTCCAGCCAGACTGTCCCTCCCTTTCTTTGGAGCATGGGGGCCATGAAGTAAAAGGTCCATCCAGGGTGCTCTTCTCTCTTTCCTTGCTGCCCTGAAATCCGGCCGTGCACTTCCTGTGTCCTGGTCTTGTCCCGGCGGAAGCCCTGCTCTGCACTGGGCCTCTGGCCTTGAGACCCATGTAGGTCTTGGGAGTCTTCTGCTGCGTGTTGGGTGCTGAGATGGGGTTGGTGGAGTGGTGGGTGATGGGCCTGTGACACTGCAGGAGAAGTGGAGGTGGGCACAGCATGGTACCCCCAGGCAGGCTTGCTTCAACAGCAAGGCAGCTCTGTGCCTTCCTGGGCCCAAGTCATGACCCCCACCCTGGGGAGAGCAGGAGTGAGGCTGGGGAGCCAGAAGCTGCTCAGCAGTGGAGCCTGTTTGGAAAGGACAGCTCACCATCTGTGCAGAGGCCCTGTCTCAGGCCAGACTGGGTCCTTGTGCAGGCACAGTGTAAGGGTCAGTTTCCAAAGCAGTGAAGGGTCGGCTGGCTCCAATCCCAGGCTCATGGCATAGAAGCTGTGTGACCTAGGCAGTTGCCAGCCCTCTCTGGGCCACATTCCTCTGCAGTCAAGCGAAGCAGGCATGGTCCTGTCCTGAGTGGCTCTCTGGAGGTGGGCAGCAAGGGCCATCTGTCTCACAGCATGTCCTGTGTTCCAGTCTCCATGACCAAGCCCAGCGTCTTCCCACTGAGCGGCCCTCGAGACAAGTCAGCCAACCAAGTGATCATTGGCTGCCTGATTCAGAACTTCTTCCCCTCGGGGCCCGTGACCGTGACCTGGGGCAAGAATGGAGAAGGCGTGACCGTCACTGACTTCCCGCCTGCCCAGGCCACAGGGGGCCTGTACACCATGAGCAGCAAGCTGACCCTGCCAGCCTCCGAGTGCCCAGAGAACACATCTGTGAAGTGCAGCGTGCAGCACACCTCAAACCCCACCCAGGAAGTGGAGGTGCCCTGTGAAGGTCAGAGGGCACCTGGAGCGGGGCCACCATCCTGCCCTGACCCAGCGCCTGGACCGTGCCCCACTGAGGCCCCCCTTGGGAGCCGAGGTTCCCTGAGAGTGAACTGCCTGATGAGACCCTGGGGTGGCCCAGACGGGCCAGGAGGGGACCACGGCTCAAGGATGGGGACAGGGAAGGGGGTAGGAGGGGCATGCTGACCTGCCAGTCCCTCTCTCGGTTCTAGAACCTGTGGTGGTGCTCCCTCCCGTCTGCGGCCAACCCCGCCTCTCCCTGCTCCGGCCGGCCCTTGAGGACCTGCTCCTGGGCTCTGACGCCAGCCTCACGTGCACACTGAGTGGCCTCAAGAGTCCAGAAAAGGCCAGCTTCACCTGGGAGCCCTCAGTCGGGAAGAACGCTGTCCAGACGACTGGGCGAGACTCCTGCGGCTGCTACAGCGTGTCCAGTGTCCTGCCCGGCTGTGCCGAGCCCTGGAACCGCGGGGACATCTTCACGTGCACGGCCACCCATCCTGAGTCCAGCCAGACGCTAACTGCCACCATCAGCAAAGCCACAGGTGGGCTCTGCCGCACCCGTCTCTTCACGGTGCCACAGCCCGCACGCCAGCCTCCTCCAGCACCAGGCTCGACTCACGGGCCACACACACTCACACACTCACACAGACACTCACACTCACACAGACACTCACACACAGACACTCACAGACACACACACACAGGCGCTCATACACCGGCACTCACACACTCACACACACACACACAGGCACTCACACACACTCACACACAGACACACACTGACACACACACACAGACACTTACACACAGAGACACACACTCACACTCACAACACTCACACACATAGGCACTCACACACACAGACACTGACACAGACACACTCACACACACAGTCACACTCACACACACACACACAGGCACTCACACACACTCACACACAGACACACACACAGACACTCACACACAGAGACACACACACTCACACACAACACTCACACACATAGGCACTCACACACACAGACACTCACACAGACACACTCACACACACAGTCACAGACACACACTCACACACACACACACTCACACACTCACACTCCCACAGGCCCCACTTTACAGGGAGACAGGCCGGCTGGGGGTTCAGGCCAGGCCCAGGTGCCCAGCTAGGTAGGGACTCCTTCTGCTCAGACCCCTGACGCAGCTCTCTTCCCTCCAGAGAACACCTTCCGGCCCCAGGTCCACCTGCTGCCGCCGCCGTCGGAGGAGCTGGCCCTGAACGAGCTGGTGTCGCTGACGTGCCTGGTGCGGGGCTTCAGCCCCGAGGACGTGCTGGTGCGCTGGCTGCACGGGGGCCAGGAGCTGCCCAGCAGCGAGTACCTGACGTGGAAGCCCCTGAAGGAGCCCGAGCAGGGCCCCACCACCTTCGCCGTGACCAGCGTGCTGCGCGTGACGGCCGCGTCCTGGAAGCAGGGGGACAACTTCTCCTGCATGGTGGGCCACGAGACCCTGCCCCTGGCCTTCACCCAAAAGACCATCGACCGCCTGTCGGGTAAACCCACCCACGTCAACGTGTCCGTGATCATGGCGGAGGCCGACGGCACCTGCTACTGAGCCGCCCGCCCCAGCCCTTGAATAAACTCTATGCCCATCCGTAGCGGCCACGCGCTTCCGTCCATCCTGGGGTCTGCAGCACGCTGGGAGGGGGCCAGGGAGGGAAGAGCGCCCGCTGCCCTGAGCCTCTGAGGGCCTTGGCACCATGGGGACGTCCCCACCTGGAGGGCGAGCGTGAGTGTGTGCGCTGTGCCTGTGTCCTGTGAAGAGGTGGACAGGGAGTCCTGAGTGGGTAGGGGCTGCTGCCTGTGGGGACAAGGCTGGCGCAGGAGCCATAGAGGGGTGGCACCGAAGGGGCGCGGAGTCCCAGGCCCGCCCTGCCCTCAGCGGGCCAGTCTAGGCAAGCCAGGTACGGCCGGGCAGGACAGGGAGGCACTGCCGCACCCAGGCCACCCGTGGCCGGCCCCGCCCCATGCCTCACATGGCTCTGCGCCCGTGCACATGCATGCACACACACTCACTCTCACACACACACACTCACACAGACACACACACACTCTCATATACACAGACACACTCTCTCACAGTCACACACAGACACACACTCATTCTCTCTCACACACACACTCTCACACACACATACACACACACAGACACAGACACAGACACACACTCTCTCATATACAGACACACTCTCTCACATACACACACAGATACACTCATACACACACATACATACACTCTCACACAAACACACACTCTCACACACATAGATACTCTCACTCACATACTCACACACACACATACTCATATACACTCATATTCACACACACTCTTAAACACATACATACTCATACACACATATACTCACACACACACATACACACTCCTTACACACTCACACACATACACACACTCTCACACTCTAACACACTCACTCTCTCATACACACACATACACACACTCTCACACACTCACACACACACACTCTCTCACACACTCTCACACACTCCGACACACACACTCACACACACTCCAACATATAGTCTCTCACACTCTCACATACACATACACACACACTCTCTCACACAATCACACACACTCTGACACACACTCTCACATATACACTCACACACACACATACACACACACTCACTCTCTCTCACACACACATACACACATTCCAACACTCTCACACTCCGACACACTCACACATACTCTGACATATACTCTCTCACACACACTCACACTCTCTCACAAACATTTACACACTCTCTCACACACACTCTCACACAAACTCTGACATATACTCTCTCACACTCTCACACACACATACACACACACTCACACACATACACACACTCACATACAGAGCCACTACAACACACACACTCTGACATATACTCTCTCACACTCTCACACACACATACACACATAATCACACACACACAGACACTACAACACACACACTCTCACAAACACTCTGACATACACTCTCTCAGACTCTCTCACACACAGATTCACACACACTCTGTCTCACACACACATAAACACACACTCTCTTTCACACATATACTCTATACACACTCTCTCTCACACACACACTCTCTCTCTCTCTCTGTCTCACACACACACACACACACACACACACTCATCTGAGCCCTGCAGATGCAGGAAATACACAGCCCAAGCTCATGCCAGGCAAGCAAGGGGAAGCCCCTCCCAAGCCCCCAGTGTGTCCCCAGGCTGTTCCACACCCAGGCCTCTCCTGGCCTCCCTGCATGTCCAGCTATGCACAGCTCAAAACACTGCTGTAGACCCCCCAAGCAGCACCTGCCCGCTGCACAGTCCCCAGACTCAGTGTCCCTTCCCTTCCTGAGCCCACTATGACTCAGGCAATAGACGGGGCAGTGGCCAAGGCTGGGAGGCTTGGGCAGACCAGGGAGACTCTCCCACACAGGCCCCTTGTGGCCTCGGAATTCTGCTTGGGCTCCCAAGAGCACGTGAGAACAGTCCCACGTCTTTGTGGGGCAGCTGGCACCAAGATGCCCACAAGGGGGCAGCGGGGCCTCTGCTTTCTTCTCAGTTGCTCTCGGAGCCTCCCCAGGGAACCTGCTTCTAACAGCCTCCCCCTGCACTCAGGGCCAAGGTGGAGTGGACCGTCCATACCCTGGACTCTGCTGTCCCCCTTGAGGAGGGTTTAGTCACCATAGGGCCACAGGGAGACTGGGGAGAGCCTGTCCCCAGAGAAGTGCTCCAGCCACTCCAAGGGGCCCAGGACATGACCCAAAAGAAGGCCTTCTAGAAAGAAGGGGAAAGAGTTAGAGTGGTCCAGGAAGGGCTGGGCCAGCAGGTGGAGAGCAGACAGATGGATTGTGGACGCAGGATAAATGGATGGGTGGGTGGGTAGACAGGTGGGTGGGGGGCTGAGTGGAAGAGAGCTTTACAGAGGGTGGGTGGATGGGTGGATCATATAGCCCCATGGATGGACGGCTGATAGATGGATGAATGGCTGAGAGCCCCATGGGTGGGTGGGTGGATGGGTGGGTGAGAAGATGGATGGGTGGATGAAAACTCCATGGATGGATGAGTGAATGGATGGGTGGATGGATGGATGGGTAAGTGGGTATGGGTGGATGGAGGGATAGATAGACAGACGGATGGATGGATGGATGGATGGATGGGTGGGTGATAACTGGATGGTGGATCAGTGGAAGAATGGATGGACAGAGCAGTAGACAGAGGCAGGATGAACTGGATGTATCAGCAGGGGACAGGCAGGCCCAACCCCATTTGACATGGGCGATTTATGCCCTGGGACCTGAAGACAGCAGGACTGCCATGCTGGTGGCCTTCAGGGCCCTCGCTTGTGTGCCTCTGCCAGGTTTCCTGGGAAGGCCACAGAGGCCGTGTCACACTCTCCAGCCCTCTGCACTCTGACCTCAGACCCAGAGCTCTGTAGGTCTGGGAGGCCACTGAGGGCCTGCATGGGGCTGAGGCCCAGGTGGCCTGGGCTGGAGTCTCCTCGGGCCACAGGACAATGCTCACCCTCCTGCCTGCCAGGTCTCTCGCCTGGTGTCCTGAGAGACAGCGGCCTGTGGGCCTCCCAGAGCTGCCAAGGTCCCAGACCCTTACCTGGGCCCTGTTGCTCCGACACATTTCAGACCTGAAGCAGGGAACCTGTGCTACCAGGGCCAGACCCCGGGGTGTAGGAAGGGAGGCCTGAGACCCAGGCCCTCACCCATGTGGGCTTCGGCCTGCAGGTCCTCTGTGTCTTCCAGACTGTCAGGAGCCACTGCCCTACGTGGTGCTGGACCAGCCACAGGAGATCCTGGAGGAGGACGTCCCAGGGGCCAGCCTGTGGCCCACCACCGTCACCCTCCTCACCCTCTTCCTGCTGAGCCTGTTCTATAGCACAGCGCTGACCGTCACGACCGTGCGGGGCCCGCCTGGCAGCAAAGAGGGCCCACAGTACTGAGGAGGAGACAGCCGGCCCAGGTGGGGTGCAGGAGGGAGTCCGTGGGCCAGCGTGGGAGGGTGCGCTCGGTTCTGTGGACCGGAAGAGACCACCTGTTCCCACCGTGTGGGCTTTGCTCTCCCAGGAAGTGGGTCCCTTCACACCCACTGAGGACGTGGGGGTCATGTGGGAGGTCCCCACAGGCGCAGTAACTTCAAGATTCAGCCCAGTCTCGGGGCCAGGCCTGGGTCAGGGGCACAGACAAGGACCTGCCCACCTCAGGACCCCCTCTGGCCCCTCTTGTCTTCACAGGGAGGAAACGTGGAGACACCCTGGACGTGTCAGAGCTGAGCCCTGAGTGAGGCCACGGTCTCACCCCCACTCTCCACTTTCCCGTGCAATAAACTGATGCCAAACGCAGACATTCTCAGACTCTCAGACAAGTGGGGGGCAGGGACTGTGATGGCACAGACTGGGGCATGCCTATCTCTAGAGGGGGGAGTCAGGGCAGGAGGGACAGAGTGACCCTTGTCTCGTGTCTGAGACAGGACCTGGTCCCACCTGAGACTGAGGCCAAAGGTTGAATTCTAGCTTCACCAACGGACAATGTCCAGGAAGACTCCTCCTCAGAGCTGTGGCCAGGTCCCCAACCTTGATCCCTAGGCCCTGATCTCTGACACTGCTTGCTCCTGAACCCTTGGCCAGGCCTATAGGCACCCAGAGTGGGTCCTGAACGCTGACCCCTGGTCCTGAACCATTGCCCTTATCCTGAGCACTGAGGCCTGGTCCTGATAACTGGGCACTGGGAGGCTCACTGAGCTCTGAATGATTAGCCTTGGTCCTGAGCACTGGGCCCTGACCTGATCACAAGGCCATGGTCCTGACCAGTGAATCCTGTTCCAAATCACTAGACCCTGATCCTGATTCCAAGCCTGGGTCTTGATCACTGGGACACAGTCCAGAACCCGTGAGCTCTGATTGTGATCACTGGGCCCTGGCCCTGGTCACTGGAGCATGGTACTGATGCACTAGGCCTTCGTACCAATCACTGAGATATCGCTTGGTGACAGGGCAGACATTCGGGTCACTGAGCCCTGGTCCTGCTCACTGGGCCCTGGCCCTGGTCCTGGATACTAAGCCCTGGTCCTGATCACTGAGTCCTGGTCCTGATCACTGGGCCCTGGTCTTGATTACAGTACCCTAGTTCTTACACCTGGGTATTGGTATGAACACTGGGCCCAGGTTCTGATCACTAGGCCCTGGTCCTGATCACTGGGCCCTGGCCCTGGTCACTGAGCCCTGGTCCTGGTCACTGAGTCCTGTTCTTCATCATTTATTCCTGGTTCTGGTTACTAGGCCCTGGTCCTGATCACTGGGCCCTGGCCCTGGTCACTGGGCCCTGGTTCTGATCACTGAGCCCTGGTCCTGGTCACTGAGTCCTGGTCTTCATCATTTAGTCCTGGTCCTGGTTACTAGGCCCTGGTCCTGATCACCAGGCCCTGGCCCTGGTCACTGGGCCCTGGTTCTGATCACTGGGCCCTAGTCCTGGTTATTGGTATGGACACTGGGCCCAAGTCCTGATCACTGAGTCCTGGTCCTCATCATTAAGTCCTGGTCCTGATCACTGGGCCCTGGTCTTGATTACAGTACCCTAGCTCTTACACCTGAGTATTGGTATAAATACTGGGCCCAAGTCCTGGTCACTGAGCCCTGCTCCTGTTCACTGGGCCCTGGTCCTCATCATTAAGTCCTGGTCCTGATCACTGGGCCCTGGTCCTCATCATTAAGTCCTGGTCCTGATCACTGGGCCCTGGTCTTGATTACAGTACCCTAGCTCTTACACCTGGGTATTGGTATAAACACTGGGCCCAAGTCCTGGTCACTGAGCCCTGCTCCTGTTCACTGGGCCCTGGTCCTCATCATTAAGTCCTGGTCCTGATCACTGGGTCCTGGTCCTGATTACAGTACCCTAGCTCTTACACCTGGGTATTGGTATAAACACTGAGCCCTGGTCCTCATCATTAAGTCCTGGTTCTGGTCACTGAGTCCTGGTCCTCATCATTAAGTCCTGGTCCTGATCACTGGGCCCTGGTCCTCATCATTAAGTCCTGGTCCTGATCACTGGGCCCTGGTCCTCATCATTAAGTCCTGGTCCTGATCACTGGGCCCTGGTCTTGATTACAGTACCCTAGCTCTTACACCTGGGTGCTGGGGTCCTGCCCTAGCGGGGTCCAGGGGGTCCTGAAGGATGAGTGGGTCGGTGCCAAGGAGGAGACAGGAGTCTTGGAGGGATCTCTAGAGAGCTTATGCAGCTTGCTCTGGGTCACCTTTCCTTGCCATTTTTCTCATCATTATGGATTCAGAATACGTCACTGATTATACAATTTCCAAATTTTGCCAAGACATGACATTTCTTTAACAACCCTTAGGAGTATAGAAAAATCTGACATCAATTTAAATTTTCCAGGATGTGACATTTACTTATCAATTATTAAGGATACAAAATCATTAATAAAGTGTGCCACTAACTTGCATTTTTCAGATTTTCCAAAGAAATACTATTTTTCCCAAGATATACTATTTTCTTATTAACAGATGCTAAACTGCACAACCAGACTCTAAGTCTCCTAACCTGTCATTAACCTTTAAACTTAAAGTACACCTGCACTTGATTTCTAATCTAAAATCCCCATCTAAAGAAGTCCCTTTAAATCTTATACTTAAAATATCCTAAAGTCTGTAAACTATTCTTAAAGCATCTTAAGAACCCATACAGCTGAAAACTTAAGAATTCTAAACCCCAAGAATCTAAATAAAATAATATTTCTAACATTATTCTAGAGATCTGTCTTATCAAGCTACTTTATTTAATTCCTACACTTATTCTCATAAAACTGGTTGGGCTGTTTTCTCAGAGTTTCTTTGTTTCTTGTTCAAGGTGCACCAGTTCTTATGTTTTTTATAATCTCTCTCAGTGAAAGGCAGGTTCTGAACACCAGTCCACTTACCACCAATATTAACTACACACATCATAGTCCCTATGTGAGGTAAAAGAGGTTTAGAGAAAAGAGGAGAATGTGTCTTTATTTATCTTAACTTTCCTAAGTGCATAACATGATTTTCCCTTAATCAAATAAATCTACATAGGGTGGGCTTTGTGCACTAAGCATGATGATCAGGCTTCCTAAGAGGCGGGGATACGGGCTTGGGTTCTTAGTGATATCATCAATGTGGTGCCTAAGGTTCTCATGACCTTTCGGAGAATTGATTGTTGTCCATTATCAGTGTTGTCCTCAGTGGGCTGAGATAGAAGACATCTTGTCCCCGATGTGCTGAGGGGTAGTAGAGCAGCCCTCCAGGCATGAAGTGCCGTTGGGTTCTAGCCCTGTGAAGTTTAATTTGGTTTGGCATTCAGCACCCTCAGGCCTCCTGTCAGGAACATGAGCATGAAAATGAAAAGTCTCAAGTACATACAAAAGGGTCTCATGGTTTCCGTTTCCCACCAACCAGCGCGGCTTTGCCAGCACTCAGCCTCACTGTGACCTTGTCAAGACGTGGGAGGGGGAGCACCTTCACCACCTGGGTATCAGTATGGACACTGGGCCCAGGTCCTGGTCACTGAGCCCTGGTCCTGGTTATGAGTCCTGGTCCTCATCATTTAGTCCTGGTCCTGATCACTGGGCCCTGGTCCTGATCACTGGGCCCAGGTCCTGGTCACTGAGCCCTGGTTCTGGTCACTGAGTCCAGGTCCTCATCATTTAGTCCTGGTCCTGATCACTGGGCCCTGGTCTTGATTACAGTACCCTAGCTCTTACACCTGGGTATTGGTATGGACACTGAGCCCTGCTCCTGGTCATGAGTCCTGGTCCTCATCATTAAGTCCTGGTCCTGATCACTGGGCTCTGGTCTTGATTACAGTACCCTAGCTCTTACACCTGGGTATTGGTATGGACACTGAGCCCTGCTCCTGGTCATGAGTCCTGGTCCTCATCATTAAGTCCTGGTCCTGATCACTGGGCTCTGGTCTTGATTACAGTACCCTAGCTCTTACACCTGGGTATTGGTATGGACACTGAGCCCTGCTCCTGGTCATGAGTCCTGGTCCTCATCATTTAGTCTTGGTCCTGGTCACTAGGCCCTGGTCCTGATCACTGGGCCCTGGCCCTGGTCACTGGGCCCTAGTTCTGATCACTGGGCCCTGGCCCTGGTCACTGGGTCCTGGTCCTGATCACTGGGCCCTGGTCTTGATTACAGTACCCTAGCTCTTACACCTGGGTATTGGTATGGACACTAGGTCCTGGTTCTGGTCACTGAGTCCTGGTCCTCATCATTAAGTCCTGGTCCTGATCACTGGGCCCTGGTCTTGATTACAGTACCCTAGCTCTTACACCTGGGTATTGGTATGAACACTGGGCCCAGATTCTGGTCACTGAGCCCTGCTCCTGGTCACTGAGTCATGATCCTCATCATTTATTCCTGGTTCTGGTCACTAGGCCCTGATCCTGGTCACTGGGACCTGGTCTTGTTTATGGGACCCTGATTCTAACACCTGGATGTTGATATGAACACTGAGACCTGATCCTGGTCACTGAGCCTGGTCCTGGTCACTAGGCCCTGGTCCTGGTAACTGGGCCCTTGTCCTTGTCATTGAGCCCTGATTCTTTTTTTTTAGAGAGAGAGAGAATTTTAATATTTATTTTTTAGTTTTAGGCGGACACAACATCTTTGTCTGTATGTGGTGCTGAGGATTGAACCTGGGCCGCACGCACGCCAGGCGAGCGCGCTACCGCTTGAGCCACATCCCCAGCCCAATGAGCCCTGATTCTGATCACTACACCCTTGTCCTAGTCACTGGGCCCTGGTCCTGGTCACTGAACCTGGTCCTGGTCACTGGCCCCTGGTCCTCATCATTGGGTCCTTGTCTGGGGGGCCCTGGTCCTGGTCACTGGGTCCTGGACCTTCATCACTTCCCCTTCCCCTGAGGTCTACCCAGGCTTCACTCGGCCTTGGGGTCCTGTTTCCATGTACTGCTCCTCAATCTCCTCAGGATTGGAAAGACTGTCCCGCGGTCCCCACAGACCCTCTGTTCTCACACCACGTGTGGCTAGAGCAAGGGTCCTGTGCTCTTCCAGCCTTTCCAGGCCCAGAGGGGTGTGTGGATACCAAGCTGCCAGGACCAGCGTGAGCAGCCTCCACCCCAGCAGGGTCCCCAAGTCAGAGGTCAGCACTGTGAAGAGGGACTAAGGGCAGGTGTGGGCTGGCGGGGCCAAAGGGGGTGCGCATCGTGGGGTGGAGGGCCCTTGTTTTTCTCTTGTTTCTGCAGCCTCTCACCCGTCACCTGTGGAACCCCCAAAATAGCCCAGCGGGTGGCTGAGTCATTGTGATCACAGCTCAGCCCAGGTGTCCCAGACAGCACTGCT